AATATTTTTGTACTATAAAAATCTTGAAATATGTTAGCATAATTATATTTAAATAGGTTAATTTACATATTTTTAACTAGGGTCATCAAATTCTGAAAATTTTATATTAAAGTTACATAAATAATCATATTACTTTTATTAAAATAGCTTAATATAAACATTATTATATAACGTAATTAAATATGTCACCTCTTAGACTTAATAGACATGACATGAAGTCTAATTTATTAAGCTAAATAGACTTTTCAAAAGAGTCCAAATTTCACCTATTTGTGAAAAAATAGTGAGATTAAAATTAATAAAAACTTATACATGTACCTAAATATTAAATCATTATTTTTTTAGGTTATTTCACATCTATTAAACTATAAGAAAAAAATATTCTCCATTATTAGTCTTGGACACATGTCATCTACTATACTATAAGAAAAAAAGGTTCTCCATTATTAGTCTTGCACACATGTCATCTTCTCATGCAAAGTTTTCTCACCCAAACACTCCCACCAACTACCATGTATAATTTCACATTGTATCATTATCATCTACAATCATATCATACATTAAACCATCAACTACTATCATAGTCTCACATTGTATAATTACCCTCTACATTCATATCATACATCAAAATGAAACATGCATGTCACTTCTCATATCATACATCAAAATGACACATGCATGTCACATTTATTAATCCTTCATTTTTTTCTACCAAACACTTAATCATATTCACATATTCTCATATTCATTTTTCATCCAAAAATATTTCTTCATTTTCACTAAATCAATTCTTATATTTCTTCATTTTCCCTAAAATCATATTTTGATTAACAATTATATTATATTATTATGCACATTCATTATAATATTCTCATATTAATTTATATTAAAGATATATGAGTTTATGGAAACAAAAATAATTCTTATCTTATTATGTTGTTTGATTATGTAAAAACAAAAATAATTCTTTAAATTCTTATCCACATTATCCTCAAAATGATAAACTCTCTATAACAAAAATTACAAGGTCAAAATAATGAAAAACTTTGAATGAGAAATGAAGAAAATTAAAGTATAATGTAATATAATGTTACCTAAGAAGAAAAAGAAAAAGAATCATGAGATTGTAAGATTATCCTATTACGCACATATGCAATTGCCATTAGTTACAGGAAATTGCGATTTGATTATGTAAAAACAAAAATAATTCTTTAAATTCTCATACACATTATCCCGAAAATGATGAAATCTCTCTAACAAAAATCACAAAGTCAGAATATTAAAAAACTTAGAATGAGAAATGAAGAAAATTAAAGTATGATGTAATGTTACCTGAGAAGAAGAAAAAGAATAATGAGATTGTAAGCAAAGATTGTTGGTAATAATTGTAAAATATCGGTGTTATGATGTGGTGTGAAAGCAATTATATAAATATCTCATTAGCAATTCTATTATCTTATTATTATGCACATTTCTTATATATTAATTTCTATTAATACCATGTACATATGTTTAAAATCAACATTCATCACCATTACCATTCTGGAATATTCATGAATAATTCAATTAGAATGAATATAATTATTATATTTAATGATCATTCATGATTTCATAAAAAAATCATTATACAAATTTATTCTTATATTATTTTTCCCACAAAAAAATCTTTCTTTATTTCCATAAATCAATTCTTATATTTCTATATTCTTATAATATTGTGCGCATTCTATTGTTATCTCATAATCTCATTAGCAATTCTATTATCCTATTATGCATATTCATTATACACTTCCCCTAAATCAATTCTTATAAGTGGGACTTTAAATTCGTATAATATTCTGAAAGCAATCCTATTAATATTTCATACTCTGTTTAGCAATCATATTATAGAAATTTCTTATATATTTCTCCCTAAATCAATCCTTATCAATATTATTATACATATTCCATATATATTTATTTATATTAATTTCAATTAATCACCAGCTACATATGCTTAAAATTATACCCAACAAATAATTTTCCTAAATCAATTCTTATTATAAGTGGAACTTTAAATTCTTATAATACTGTGAAAGCAATCTTATTGATATCTCATATTCTGATTAGCAATCATATTATTCTATTATCCACATTCCATATATATTCCTCCATACATCAATTCATATCTTTCTTCATTTTCTCAAAATCAATTCTTATAAGTGAGACTTTAAATTCTTATAATATTATGAAAGCAATCTTATTAATGTCTCATACTCTAATTAACAATCATATTATCTTATTATTATACACATTTAATATATATTCATTTATATTAATCATCAGGTACATATTTTTAAAATTATACTCAACAATTAATCATCATTCATCACCATTACCATATCGCAATATTCATGAATAATTCAATTAGAATGAATATAATTATTATACTTAATGGTCATTCATGATTTCATAAAAATATTATTATACACATTTATTTTCATATTATTTTTCCCTCCAAAAATCTTCCTTTATTTCCCTAAATCAACTCTTATAAGACTTAATTTTCCCTAACTCATATTCTGATTAGCAATCATATTATCCTATTATGCACATTCCTTATAATATTGTGAAAACAATTATATTAATATCTCATACTCTGATTAGCAATCATATTATCTTATTATTATCCACATTTTTTATATATTCATTTATATTAATTTCTATTAATCACCAGATACATATGTTTAAAATTATATCCAACAATTAATTTCCTTAAATCAATTCTAGCAACTCATGTTATCGAAGTGAAGGTAATGATAGGAAAAAATGTTGGGAAGATATTCAACATTCCACGTATGAGTTTGTCTCCATCCCATTCATCATGACCTTTCAAATTAACAATGAAACAATTTCCGTTGACTGTTTCATATGCTACGACAATTAACAAGTTACAATGGCAATCACTAGCAAATGTTGGGTTGTATCTACCTCGACCAGTTTTCGGCCATGGACAACTATAAGTTGCTTTTTCAAGAGTTTCAGTCAAGGAATGACTTAAAATACTTATACATGATAAGGAAGGAAAAACAATGAACACTACAATAAATGTGGTGTTCAAAGAAGTTTTCCAAAACCTATAAACATGTAACACTATAACACCTACTACTAAATGCGAATTCTGGTATATTTTCGGGTATTCATCCTGTTTTTCGTTTCAGATATTTAGTAATATTATATTTAACATGTAATAATTATCATATATATACATGATCATATGTTACATTTAAATAATGACCAATTTATTAATATTTTTATTCTTATTTTTGAACACACACATATATAAATATGTATGTATATATATATATATATATATATATATATATTTACATAATCCTAAAATTAACATAAAAAAATAATGATTTTAAACGTACTTAAAAATAAACTTTCTCGTGCAAAGCCATGAGTATTTTACTAGTTATTTATAGTAACTTGTCATAAGCACATTTGATTGGGTAATCATACATCAAAAGTCTCTTTTGCAAGCCTATGTCTAAAAATAAGAGTATAACATTGTTTTATTAGCATGGATCTATTTACTCAAATAATAAGTTTTTTAAACTTACTTCAAATCTTAGTCATTAATTTTAGGGAAATTCAATGATTTAGATCTACTTACTAATTCAAACCATTGAATTCCTTAGAATTGATGGTTAAGATATGAGGTAAGTTTAAAAAACTTAGTCTTGGAGTAAGTAGACTTTGTCTTTTTTTAAATGTCTCTAAATTTGAGAATTTTTAAAGTGATGTTTACTTTATTATCTCTTACCAGCAGCTTTTGTATATAATTTTCATTAGCTCTTTTTATCAAATATGTTAGTTAATCACACTTTAACATCTAACTTTTTTACCCTTGGACTAATTTTTTAAGATTGAGTCAACTTTTCAATTAATTTTTCCATTAGCTCTTCCTAAGTGTATGATAGCTCCTAAACGACCCTAGGAAATTTTTCTCTAGGAAGTTACTTGTTATGATTAAGGATAAGTTCAATAATCATTTGGGCTTAAGATAGAATCACTTTTTTGGTTGTGCCTTAATATTCTCTTATTGCTTTTTTTGATTGGTTCTTATGTTGGAGTCTACGAACTTTGTGTACCATTTTGAAGGTGTTGTTTAAAAAATCTTTATTATTATATAGGATGTCCATTATTCAGAATTAATGAGTCGACTATATTAATATAAACTTAAAATGGTTGTTGATAAGATATTTATTACTATGGTCGTTAAGCAGTTCATTACAAAGGGAATAAGATAAAATATGATAGTTGATTATTTAGGTTCTATTAAATATTAATATTATATTAGTATATTTAGAATATTCTTATGTTGTAAGATGATCATGACACTTATATGATTATCATCATCTTAAATTTCTTTATTCCCTTTTAATATTATATCGTTCATCCATAGTCAAACAATGAAATATGAAGAATTTATTATTTATTTTATCTTCTAACTAGCAAGATATGCACGGGTGGTATTTTCCGTATGGTTAAGAATACACGTTTTATATGTACATTCATATGGTTAAAACACACATGTTACTTGTATATTCGTATGATTAAAAACACATATGTTACTCGTGCATTTGTATTGTTAAGAGCACATGTGTGACTCGTACATTTTAATAGTTTAAAACAAACATGGTTTTAAAGAGATATAATTTGCAAAGGAAAGGTAAACTGTTGAAAGATTTTATTAACAGTTACCAACATCTATGATGGTTTATTGTAGTAACTAGTCCAACGTATATTTACCACTTACGTAATTAACTACACAATAATTATAGATACTTCCATGTGTACATCTTCTTGGTAAGAAGTGAGCATACTGAAATCAAACAGAGGCATATGCAATACACCATACTTAGACATATATTGGCATATGCAATACACCATACTTAGACATATATTGGCATATGCAATACACCACACAATTCCATCAGACATACACCAACAAGCCTCTACTACCTATCATACACACACACATCACACTAACAGTGTATACAATCTTCATTGTTCATTATATAGCAAAATAGAGAATCACACACAGGAGAGGCATAACTACAGGTTCTATCATATATCATACATATTACATCAACAAGCAAGAACAGGCAAGATAAGGATCTGGCAAGGATAACACCAACAATGTCACATACTAAGACATACGGTCTCCGAAATCTTTGGGTTTGCCGGAAACGATACCCATTCGCGAATGAGAATCAGAAACGGAAAATAGAGATATGGAGAAGATAATGGTTACCTATTCTTTAAACCACCATGGTAGAGATGCTCACTAGCCATGGAGAAGAAGACCAGAGCAAACCCGCTCCTCCATTGCTACGGCTGCTGCTTCTTCCTTCTCCATGGCCGCTGCCACTAGAATCGGGAGAGAGGGGAAGAGGATCTAGGGATTGCCCTCTCTAAACTATTAATTCCATATCAAATATTTCAAAAATAATCATTATTTATTCAAGTGATTTTAAACGAAATTTATAGTAAAGTTATGACCCGTGTTGTCTCTAAATTCTCAGAAAATGGGAAGGAGGTCTACGACCAGTGTCGTCTCTAAACTATTAATTCCATATCAAAAATGTTTTAGTAAAAATTTATTTTATTACTCAACCAAATCGATACCTTCAAATCAACGAAACCAACCAATTAATTTTCGAACCAGAACTACGTAGCCTTGATTTCCCAATTGCACCTAGGGATACGTAGGAGCAAGATAAACTCTTGTCAGGCCCAACAATAAAAAATAAAACATTTTACTTTTATTACTGAACTTCAATAAATAATTATAAGGGTATAAAAGTTCATGTTATTAGCGAGGGTACCATTTTAATACGGGCGGACGAGGTGCTAATACCTTCCCCGATCCGTAATCGACTTGGGAGCTCAGAATCTCTGCTCAAAGACCAAGTTATCCTAATTGGGCTTATTAGAGAGTTTTCTACGTTTTATCTGCAAAAAACGTAGCGGCAACTCCAAATCAATTGGAAAATGTAGAAATCGAGTTCGCCTCTCCCCAAGTCGTAGGGCCGGTCTTCTAACCGAAAATCGGGTCGCGACAGTTAATAACACACATGTGACCGTGCAACCGTATGGTTAAAAAAAACACATGTTAGCCATACATTCATATTGCTAAGAACATATATGTTAATTGTGCATTCATATAGTTAAAACACATATGTTACACGTACATTCATATTGTTAAGATGTGTTACCCCATATATTTTCCTGTTCAAACACATAACGTAAACAAATGACAATTTCGAATTTTAAAATAAATATTTTTAATAAAAATAGGAAACCGAAACATGATACCATGCGATTTTTTTTAAAATAAATATTTTAAAAGTTGTAGAAAATGAAATGATTTTTTCATTTTCGAATATGATTTTTTTAATGAAAACGGGGAAATCAAATCGTGATACCATATGAACCTTTTTTATTAAAAAATATTTAAAAGTTATAAAAACTTCAATTTCGAATTTGATTTTTTTAATTAAAATATGGAAAAATTAATATTCAAAGAATCTGATATGTGATATTAAAATTCAGTAGGAAAAGTATCATAAAACTTTGATGGATGAAAAGTAAAGCGGATAATTTTTAAGTGAAAATTGTTGGTAATAATTGATATATGGCGAACGTTATGGTGTGGTGAAGTGCATTGGAAGCCGTGAAGTTGTTTGAGCGGGAAAACTTTGGATATGGATGCGACATGTGGCGCTTGCTAAGGTGTAAGGACATTTTTTTCTTATATAGTAATAGATTTATCCATTTTCTTAAGACTAGAATAATTATGTAGTGTTCTCAATAGAATGCTAGTATCACTCTATCAATTGGTGTTGCCATTTTTAACTTATCCATCCAAAATAACCATGTATTATAAACCATAGTTACAATCAGTTACCATCCCTCTATTATTCGAGTCAGACATCTCTCCAGTAATGAAGATGACAGTTATTAAAAAAACATTGAAAAATTAAAATGCATTGACATTTGTACCCTTTAATTTACACTTATATTACATCTTAATCCAGACCCGCCCCACTGCTTTGTTTTTGGACCCAGACCCATGCTAATACTCGTTGGGTATACTACCCGCGGGTCCTTGGGTACCCAACGGATCCATGGTACCCATAAATTCAAAAATATTAAAAATAATTGCAAGTAATTTATGCATTTGTGCATTTGCTTCATATGATCTTATATAGACAATTAACAAGAGAAAAAACTATAAAACTTAATTTAAAGTTTTAAAAACAACTTAATTTGACTATTAAACACAACTCATTTTACTCTAACAAACATTAAAAACAACTTCAACGTTAGGATGAAAAATTCATTTAGTATGAACTCTTCAATTAACATAACATTATATCATACATATGAATTAACAACATAATATCATTGATTAACAACATAAAAATCACAAATATGAATTCATATTGTAACGACCCGATTTTCTACCCTTGAAATTTTTTCATTCATTTTAATCATTTTGCATGCATTTTCCTACACTTACTATCATACTTTCAAATTCCATAATCACCTATACTTGATTTGACAGAAAAACATAATTCATATTCGTAATGTCTCACGGATAATGAGACCCCATAAGTATAGTTCTCTGAAATAACCATACACCCAGTTACAAATATTTGACTAATGGTTAGCTATGATTACAATCATTTAAATCCGCAAGTAGTCATTTAAGATACAAAAACATAAATAGTGAATCCGAAGTCTAAAGCTCCTAAAGCTCCCGACCTAGCATACTTCATTAATCTATTTACCTGCAATGGGATTATCAATGACAAAAGTACAAAACACACAAAGGAGTAAGTCGTTAATTCAATAAACGTCATTATAAGATAATCCACATTAGAAAAAGGGTTAGTAAACCATTTCCGAAATTCATTTTGTCTTGCTGCATTACTTGAGCCAAAGTCACTACACCCCTCAAGGTTAACTAAAAGCAGATTCTCATCCTTTTTACCAATAAAACACGCCTCATAAACTCGGGCTGAAGTGTTGCTACATAAACTCGAGCCGAAGTCGCTACACCCCTTAGGGTTAGCTAAAAACAAATTCTCATCTCTTTTATAAAGAAAACATGCCGCGTAAACTCGGGCTGAAGTGTTGCTACATAAACTCGAGCCGAAGTCGCTACACCCCTTAGGGTTAGCTAAAAACAAATTCTCATCTCTTTTATAAAGAAAACATGCCGCGTAAACTCGGGCTGAAGTGTTGCCACATAAACTCGAACCGAAGTCGCTATACCCCTTAGGGTTAGCTAAAAACAAATTCTCATCTCTTTTATAAAGAAAACATGCCGCGTAAACTCGGGCTGAAGTGTTGCTACATAAACTCGAGCCGAAGTCGCTACACCCCTTAGGGTTAGCTAAAAACAAATTCTCATCTCTTTTATAAAGAAAACATGCCGCGTAAACTCAGGCTGAAGTGTTGCTACATAAACTCGAGCCGAAGTCGCTACACCTCTTAGGGTTAGCTAAAAACAAATTCTCATCTCTTTTACCACATTTTCACTTTTAGGGTTTTTGGGGTTTTCATGAATCAACCTACAACCCTTTCCATTCTTGAGATACTATCTCTAAACCAAGAGTTTACAAGATAAAAACAACATAAAACGAACCATAACTCTAAAGAATGAGTTTCCATAGTTTCTCATGTTTTGAAAATAAATCCAACATACCCAAAACAAGTTAGAGAGGAAGAAGAAGAGTTAGTAACAAGAGGTTTACCTCTTCTCAAGCTCCAAGATGAGTCCTAAGGCTCCTTGCTCTTGAAAAGCTCTCCTCTCTCTCTTCTCTTCGAAGTTCTAACCCTAAAATGTGTTTTGGGTTTCTATTTTATAGACACTGCAATAAGTGTAATCGATTACAAGTATAGTGTAATCGATTACACTGTGTAAATTATAGAGGCATCGTCGCTATGTAATCGATTACCAACATGGTGTAATCGATTACATTAATACGATGTAATCGATTACCAACATGGTGTAATCGATTACATTAATACGATGTAATCGATTACCAACATGGTGTAATCGATTACATTAATATGATGTAATCGATTACCAGAAGTGTGTAATCGATTACACAGTGTAAATTACAGAGGCATCGTGGCGATGTAATCGATTACCAACATGGTGTAATCGATTACATTGTGTCAGATGTACATATCTGATGCTTTTAATCATCATGTAATCGATTACCAGGACTGTGTAATCGATTACACTGTGTCAGATGCACATGTCTGATTAGTTTATCAACATGTAATCGATTACCAGGAGTGTGTAATCGATTACACTGTGTCAATAGCCCAAAATTGTCATTTCTCGCCTAGGCGAGACAACTCTCGCTCAGCCGAGAATCCTCCAGTATAGTCCAGGATTTCACCCTCCCATGTGATCCTTTCTCGCTCAGGCAAGAATCTCTCGATCAAGCGAGGCTTCCAGGACTGATACTATAATTTTAAAGATTAAAATTTGGGGTGTTACACATATGATATTATAATTATGGATTAATATAATATTATAATTTAGATTAACATTATATTACAATTAGGTTGTTATATATATAGGAAGAAATAGCGGGTCCGGGTACCCACGGGTCTGAGTATATTATTACTCGGACCCAGACCCATCTAACAGCGGGTCTTAAAATCGCGGGTCTCAATTACCCACGGGTCCAAAACATGGACCCAGACCTGACCCGTTACGGATATTTTTTGCGGGCACCCGTGGATCCGAGTACTCATTGCCATCCTTATATGTACTGTCAGTATAAAGATTTATACATAATCACCATAACATTCGCCATTCATTTGTATTACTTTTTTGAAGAGTCAATGATGATTAAATATAAATGGTGAATGATGCTTGCAGTGTATAAAATTCAAAAACTATCACTACATATTTTTTATCATACATATATATGTTATGTACTTAAAATAAACTTTTAAAATTAACTATATCCACATGTCTTATAATTGATATCAATTTAATAAAATATTAAAAGTGAGAGGGTGAATCATGAATTTGCTTGAATATTAAATAAAATTAAATAGCAAAGAGTCATTTTTTAATTCTTTGTTTTTTGGATGGATTAGATAGCCGTCCAAATGTATCAATTAGATATAATGGATGGACTCAAATTACTAAAGTTATCAATTGCAATTCATCCATTTAAATTCATTACTTCTAATGGATGGATTTTGATGAATTAAGTTTTTTTTTATTTGGATGACTTGTGGATGATGAATAATTTTG